AAAAAAAATTACTAGCTGTGGTAGTGCATGAGACCCTGTGTTCAAATCTCAGTATTGTCACGTTTACAAAAGAAAAGTCATATAGCCAGTTTTTTAATACATAGGAATCACTGACAAGGGCCCTATGGCTTTTATTCTAGTTCTCTCAAGTTTTGTTCTGAGCAAGTATGCTGTAAACATACAGGATCAGGCTGTACTAGTGTCAGTGGCATGTGGAAGAACCAGGCTGTTAACATTAATTTTGTCTTGGATTTATTAGTGCTTCAGATACTGATGACTTTTTCAGATCTCCATTTTTTGTTCTTATTAAATAGTTGTATCCATGATACTTTCATCTCCAGATTCTGCTTCACTTGCATCTCAATGAATTCTTTCTAGTAGTCTTTCAAGCCATATACACTAGCACTGTGAATTAATTTGAGTTGTACTGTCTGTTCTTCTACTTACAGTTTCATTATCCATAATAATTTAACCTAATTCTAAAAATACCTTATGCTAACTTATTTTCAGGAAGAGAAGGAAGTATAGCTTAGGGTAAATCTTAATATTTTGAAATGCTTCTTTAGTTTTTATTTTTAATCACATTATACAATATATTCTCATGATACATATTTAACAGATTATGGAATAGCTATTATCACAGCTGGTTTCTTTGTCTTCTCTATTTAAAATCGTTAGTTATTTGTTACGAATCTTAGTTTCAGTGTTTATAGAAAGCTGTTCTTCATGTTTCTTTATTGTGAATTATTATTACTATCTCCTTTGTCCTGTGTAAAGTTTGTAATGTTGTGTTCTAGCTACAGTTGGGGTAATGGGTATAATTATTGATATAATTACTTTTTATTGATTGTCTTCACATAGTGTAAGACGTCTCTTCTTTTGCTCTAGGAAATGGAAAGGTCAGTAGTTGCACAGCTGCTGAGGGTAGTTTTACCTCTCTCACTGGACTTCTAGAAGTTGAACCCCTGCACTTTACCTGTGTGTCAACTAGTGATGGAACCAGAATAGAGAGGGATGATGCAAGTACGTTTACTGGTATATACCTCCTTTATTATATACTTTATGTGGTAGTAGAAAGAGCTATATGTAACTTCAAATAGTACTCTACGATATATGTGTATTTCATTGCTGTCATGTTAAGTGGAAATTTATGGTACAGACATTTTAGGGAAATATACTGAATTTTCTTCCTTCCTTTCTTTGCCTCTTTACTTTCTTTCTCCCTCCTGGGGCCTAAACTCTGGGCCTGGCTGGGCACTGTCCTTGAACTTTTTTGCTTAAGGCTAACACTCTACTACTTGAGCCACAGCTCCACTTCCAGTGTTTTTGGTGCTTAATTGGAGTTAAGAGTCTTATGACTTTCCTGCCCCATCTGCCTCTATTTTTTTTTTTTTTTTTTGGTCCAGTCGTGGGGCTTAAACTTAGGGCCTGGGAGCTGTCCCTGAGCTCTTCAGCTCTAGGGGAGTGCTCTACCACTTGAGCCACAGCACCACTTCCCATTTTCTGGTGGTTAATTGGAGATAAGAGTCTCACAGACTTTGCTGCGTGGGCTGGCTTTGACCTGCAATTCTCAGATCTCAGCCTCCTGAGTAGCTAGGATTACAGGTATGAGACTAGTACAGGGTAGTATATGGTTTTCTATCTGTATTATATTTACTTTGCTGGGTAATTTTTTTTTGCAATTTTTTTATTCTAATTAAGTGATTACATAAATTTCCCAGATTTCACAGTATTGTAGGATAGTGATACTTAGTTAAAGTCACAAACACTTTGTAACCTTTATGGGGCAAATTGTCTTTTTCGTGATCTATGAACTTTATAGTTTAAAAAGTCTCTTTAATAATTGTACAAAAAGTAAAAACACAGGGTAGAACTCACACCTATGATAGGCAAGGCCCTGAGTTTGATCCACAGCACTACAAAAAAAGAAGGAAAGTAAATTTCCAAGAGAAGTCTTTCTTATATTTAAATCAGAACATGTATGGTGAAAATATTAAACTTTAAGCAACTTCTTTTTATACCAGCCTCTTTTTCTGGAGCTATCAAGTGATGTAATAATGATTAATATATCAAGCTTAATGCTATCTAAAGGTTAAAAAAGTAAAGTTAGATGATTAGGTTTGAGAAATAAGTGTTTCACATTATGCCCCCTACAATGCAAGCATGGAACTTTCTTTCAAACATATCTTCCCTGCGGTGGTCTGTGTAATACTCACTTTGCTGTTACTATCATAGCCTTGTCAGACATTAAAATGCTAAATTGATCTTTTGGCTTTTTTTTTTTTTATCTTTTCCCTGCTTTCCATTGTTTTTGAGCAAGTAACCTTACTTCCCTTAGATTTTGCTGTCTACAATATGAGATTATAAAAGTACATAATAGGGGGCTGGGAAGGTGGCTCAGTGGTAGAGCGCTTGCGTTGCATGCATGAGGCCCTGGGTTCGATTCCTCAGCACCACATAAGCAAAAAGAAAAA